GATACTGTCAGCTACTTTGCTAGGTAAATGAGCTGTGCTGCTCCACCTGAGCAATGTGGGCCAGCTCCTTCTCCTTCACCTCCCAATGCTGAGCATACGAGCACCAGCAAGGACAGCACAAGTGATAACAATACCCATGGCAGTGCACGTTCGCTCATCATTGCAAGTGAGCCCAACGGCTATGAAACACAGAAACCACAGAGGCGATGGGCATGAGGAGGAGAACGAGAAGCATGACAGCGATCAGGTACATGGCAAGCCATCCTGTATGACAGCTCTAACCCACATCCCCTCTCATTTGTATAGAATGAGGTTTCAGGCTGCCGCCTTGTCCACCTCTCCCTCATATGCATGAGCAGATGAAGACACTGTCCCACACTGGTTCAACTTACACATTAATGTTTAATGTTTAACCCTTACTCCCTCCCTGTTCTTTTGCTGTGTTTTGGTGTCTGGTGAGTTTTTAATTCTTTATATTTGATACTGATAACTACTATGCTAGGTAAATGAGCTGAGTGCCCCCCACTTAAGTGATGTGGGCTGGCTATTGCTTCTCCTTCCAACACTGAACATGCGAGACAGCACCAGCTACAAAGAAGGAGTCCCATGAGGTGCATTGTGGAGTGGGTCTTATGACTTATTCCATTATTCATCTCTCACATAATATACTACTTACCACCCCATGGGCTATACAGGGAGACACTGCAGGTGCAACAATGATGACTCCACGACCCTGTGGGTCTAATGACAATGATGCCATGACACCGCTGGTGCTCACTCTTGAAGGATCTGGGTGGGCAGAGAAGAGACAGCCACAGTCCAACAATGATGACCCCATGACGCTGCATGTGCATCTATGATGAATCCATGATGCCGCGGGTACATCAAAGACTGCCCCATGATGCTGTGGGTGCAGTGACAACTACTCTATGTCACTGTGAGTATATCAGATGTAACTGTAGGTAGTTACATAGTATGTTCAATAATAGTCCTTGTACTATATTGTACTATATTATATATTGATTCAAACCTACTCGAAAATTGTGCTTAGAGGCAGGACAAGGGAACCCCCAGGGCAACAGAAATGCAAATTGACCCAAGCCTAAGACCTATTGTGTTGTCCTAGGACACTCTGAGTAAATTTGACTGCAATCTAGGAAACCATTAGGTTGCCTCCAGTACATCCTAGGGTGTCCTAGGGATCTCCTAGGTTACCCTAAAGAAAAGTTATCTCCTAACTGACACCCAAGAGAGTATGAGCAACCTGGCTGACCTAGCACTCTTAGGCCGCCCTAGGAGTTTCTTGGGAAGACCTGAGGAAAAAGTGTTTTTCCTGATGTTGTATTAGTGAGGTCAATAGCATCAAGATAAATTCTGACAGCACTATTACCGCAGTCCCACAAGCAGACCTCTACGAGCTCGAGAAGATAACCATCTCAATTCAGGTTCTTGGTCTACGTCCCTCTACTTCTGATGATGATATTTTTCTTCAGAATGACTGGCGCTTGTATTGAATCAAGGAGCTCATGCTACATGTCCCAGGGAAGTATATCCAAGCAATGGATCCTGAGTTTGTGTCATGAGGAATAGGTCAAATGTTCTATCTATTCCAAGGAACCTCCCTTGTGGGCTTAGTGGCGATGATTCCTGGCCAGTTAACAAGTAATAACATCAAGGAGCTTGCATGCATCCCTCACAGACAATTTTTCATACCGTGAACATACTGGTATGATTTTTCAACCTTATTGTTACTGATACTTATTTATATGACTCACAGGGAAATCCTGCTTCTCCTGCCGTTTAGCCACCTCAGAGCTCGACAACATCAAGGGCACAACCAACAGCTGCTCGCTCTGATCTCCCAGCTTCGAGTTTGGCACCACAGTTGGTCAACGAGCACTCGAACATATAGGCGCCCATGTCCTTTTTGACCCAAACATCACCTGAGAAGATGAGCCCTGCAGGCTCTGCCTTTGCTCATCCTCAAACTGTCAGATATTCCTTGCACATGGTGCTAGCGGAAAGATGAAGGTAAATACACACCACTCTTCAGGATGCAGAAACTGGCAGGTCTTTTATTATACAGTTGCTGCGGAGTCCACTTCGACATCTCCCTGCTCAAATGTCCCTGTGACATGTCCTATCTGCCTGAATAAGCAGTCTCCAGCTGTGTGGAAGTACATCCTCTGATCCCACGTCCTATTGAAACATCCATCTGCATCACTCACTTACTATGCCCCACTTTGGGAGCTTACAAAGTTTGAAACCACTCAGATGATGTCCTTCTGGAGGGACCAGCGCAACACTGTTGTGCACTGGCCTGGAAAGGTGAAGGAAGCAAAGAAGATAGTGATTTCAGAAGCGCATACTTCGACTGTGGTGCTGGCGACATCAACAGCTGAGGTCGAAGCTGGTGAGGATGACGAGCATGTCTCGGACTCTGACCAGAACAGTAATGAGTTGGATAGAAATGATGCTCAAGAACCTGAGGTAATAATATCTTCAGTTATCTTGCATTCATACTAATTTATTTACTATCATCTAGACAGATACATCAGCTGCACCAGAACATCAGGATAGTGGTTCAGCCATGCTGGTGCCCCATGATGATGATGACGGTACTATTTTCTCATTTTAACTAATCTACTATCCTAATTAAAGTCTATTTTAGACATGTATTATAACAGTGATGAACAACCACTCAACCAGGTCCTCCCACCCATTGAGAACACTGCTCTGGGCACTGGTGCTGCATCATTGCCCTCAGCACAAGCCACGGCAGCATCCATTTTGGATTCTTGCATGCCTTTCCCACATAATCTTGATGCTCCCATGCCCTTGGAGCTGCCACAAGTCCCCATCCTTGGACCATCTGGTCGACCAGAGAGAAGGACATTTCATTCTCGATTCAACCTTGCTGAGCTTGAGAAGTGTACATGTGGTAAAGATGCAGAGGTACATCCTGATGGAGGAACAATTCAATGTAAAAACACAAAGTGTGTTATAAAATGGGTACGTACCATTTATTAATTTTTTTCATAACATTTCTTGTTAACTATAGATAGTATCATCTTGACTGTGTTGGTTTGGACATTGCGCTGAGGGGCTGGATGTGCGAAACATGCATTTCTGATGGTGCAGGACGTGTGGCCAAGAGTGTGCGCCATCTTGGTTGATAAATTGATCGTATATACTATATTAGGACATATTGATCATTATATAATGCTTACAATGGAGGGTGGGTCATCTGCCAGGTCCTTAAATATTTTGTCGATGTTAGGTAATATCTAAGGTTTTGGTACCCCCTTGCTATCTTTAAGTTTTTTTTTTCTGCACCAGAAGCAGAAGAGAAAAAAAACTCAAAGTAAGATTCAATTTTCAAAAAGCATTAGTGACAGTGATCTATTGTATATATTGACTATATCTATTTGCATCCTTAAAAAACTTCATCTAGCTCACTATATGTGCTGGTTTTTTTTTTTTTTTGTATTTCTATTATTTTTATTTGACATAGAGCCAGATAAAAAAATGACAGAATTGCTTACATAATCAGATTAAACCAAAAAATATTGTTGGGTTTTATATATATATATATCTAGATGTGTATAAATATATACCTAGATGATATGAGAATATATGGCTTGACTTGTCAGACTTTGCACATGTAGATAGTAGCACAGTATATAAACCTTAAATTACACAACAACTGCTCTTGATCTTTAACCACCACCATCCATTATTCATAGCCAGTACAATTGAATTATTTGATTATGTAAGCAATTCTGGATTTCTTTATCTGTCTCTGTGTCAAATAAAAATAAGAACAAAACAGGCTAGATGTGTGACACTCCATCACATCATGTGCTGCTCATCTTACTTGATTCTACTGCCCTCGATGCATACTACAACAAAAATCATAATTCTTTGTCTTTTTCTCATAGTTTTTATTGTTACTAGTAAGTTTTTATTCTTTTTTTTGGTATATAATCTAAAGTCTTTTAGAATTAACAAAGGGCATGCTTCGCCGAGTGCTTCCAATCATCTGTTCATGGGCTGGCAGTAAGTGCATATTCTGTTTCTCAGAAAAATTTGCTAACTATGTTCCCAGTGTCTCTCACCAAGCATGTGACCATCAATGGTGGTCAGTTCTTCCAAGTTACAGGCAACATGTACATGAATTCAATCTCACAAGGTAAGTACTTGGTTTTTTGACTCACAAAACTCTGATGAAAACTCTTAGGTCATCCACTTGAATCAATTTTGGAGTGGGAGGGATATTTGATCATCAATGCAGGAACTTTTGTGGATGTCGCTGGGGGTGTCTATATTGGGTGTTAAAGATGCTTAGTACAGGATATGTGTAAACTACTAGATAATCAAGTAGTAATAGACTTTGTAAAACTCAAACAATGCCGAACTCAGACTTCCTTTAACTTGACAATTTGTACAAACTTTTGACTTTAACTTGACTTTAACAACCTGTAACTTTCATGCAGGGACCGCGACGAGTATGCACTACAATTTTCACATGGTCACAATGGGTGCACACTTGTTGAAAACCTTGTGTGATTTATTAGAATATTTGAGCGAGTTGTCATGAGAGTGATAAAATAATAAATTGAGTATCAATGTTTGATCATGAGATCAGTACCTTGCACATCTAAGTGAGTTTACAATCACAGGAAGCCCTGTTGATCAATAGCCAGAGGAAGCTCAAACACTATCAATAAACTAAACCTTAAACAAGGAAGAGTAATTCTTCTTGAGACTTAAGTTCACACAATGTATTGGGTAAAAAGTAAGAATAAAAATAAGAACAAAGGAAAAGCAAAGGTACATCTATCTTTAAAAATAAGAATAAAAACTAAGGCGGCTTCTACTTTTCATCGGTTAATTAAAAAAATTATTAAAATTTTTAACTAAAAGGGAGGCAAAAGTTGATACTAGGGGCAGTTAAAAATTGAATTAAAAGTAAATTTAATTTTTATAATTTTTAAAAAGAGCCTTTAATTTAAGGGTAGAATGGTTTCTTGATGAGGGACATGTAGGAGTTCAAATCTTCTAAGGCTTAAACAAACTTTTGACCTACCACTTAAGCTCGTTCTTATTTCTATTCCTCCCACTATTGTCCGTTCTTAATTTTTACTAAGAGACAAAGGCAAAAGTAAGTAAAATCCTAACTAAAAAGACAAAAGCAACCTTTGCCCTGAGGGCTGCAGGCTCCGATGGGAAGATAAAAGTAGAATAAATTAAATTTTTATATTTAATAGTTTAAATGCTGGAAGCAGAACTCGATTGGTTGAGTGTCCCCCTTTTAAGGGGACGGTTTTTGGTTCGAGCCCAAATGTTTCCATTCAGTAATTTTTTAAAACATATCATTGCCTTATCCCCTTCAAATGTTATAAAAAAATATTTTTACAATATTATTTTTAGTAGCTTAGCTATTTATAATTACTTAGTAACTTTGTTTATTTGTTTTTATGGCCCTTTGTTGGGTAAAACTGTTTTATTCTTATTTTTCCTCCTTTTTATTCCCTTTGGCTGCAGCCCTACGGGTTCTTATTATAAATATAAGAATAAAAAGATTAGGCGCAGGCCATAAGGTAAAAGACAGAGGCAAAAGTAAAAATAAGCCTTTGCTCGTAGGGTGCAAGCCGGAGGGAATAAAACTGCACCCCTTCCTTTGGAAAGGGTTCTTATTTTTCCTCTTTTTTTTTTCCTAGCGTAGCAACCATCGTTTTATTCCCTATGGCTTGCACCCTTATGGGTTCTTATTCTTACCTCCCCTCGTTTTTATTTTTAAATGTACCTTTGCTTTTCCTTTGTTCTTATTTTTATTCCCTCTGGCCTCAGTGAAGCAGTTACCTCTTCAAAAGGCTCATGCTACAGACAACTCAGTGGGGTGAAGTAGTGTTTAAAGGTCCGGTTAATTAACCGGAAAATAACCGAGACCTAACCGGACCTTAACCGCAAATAACCGGACCGCGGTTAGTGGTTAATGGTTTTTGAGAAGCATCTAACCGGTTATTTTGTGACCGGTTATAACCGGTTATTTGTAGCTCTTATTTTTCTCGTTAAAACAAGCCCTGGACCATAATTTTAGGTCAAGAACTGACTTAGTTATGGTTAAAACTATAAAATATCAGTCAAAAGAGTAGATAGCATGTAATAAAATCATAACTCAGTCAGTTCTTTACCGAAATTAACGTTCCCAGGGTCGATTTGAAGCTTACATGAAGGAGAATAAATTATACTAAGTCACGAACATGCAGTTATTACCAGTTATAACCGGTTTTAAATATTTTCGGTCTTAACCAGTTACTAACTGCAACTAACTGGTTATAAGCGGTTATTTGCAGTTAGGTCCGGTTATTTTGGGTCTGGGAACAAAGGCTAACTGGTCTCGGTCCCGGTTAGAGCCTCCGGGCACCCAAAAACTGGACCTAACCGGACCTTCGAACACTAGGGTGAAGGATAAGAGCACGATCTGTGTTTGCCATTTCTACCTCCTTCGATAGCGGGGCCCTATACCTCATGAAACTAATCTTCTCATTGAATTCCTCCACCGAATAACTGAAGTAGGTGCCCCACTTCTACAAGCTTTCTCAGGGTGCTTTAATCGAGAGCTCGAGAGCCTCGCAGATCCAGATGATGGTCACTTCCAAGAAGTCCTGGACAAGTTGGACGTGCTTGTAGGATTCTTCCTTGGAGGAGAAGGAGTCAAGAAGAGGGTTGGAATGTAAACTGACAGGAATATTGATGATATACAGCACAGAAATGGGCAAGGAAGTGAGGACATCATATGGTAATGTCTAAGGGAGGAGGTGGACTGTATACGCTGATAGGGTGCAGCGCGGTCCGCCCATGAAATTTTGTGATTTTCCAATCAATCAACCTATTACACCAGGGAATCAAGGGTAGGCAGCATACCTTGTGCTGGCCGACTAAGTGGGTTACACGTGGGAAACCACATAATCTAGTACAATGGAAGTAACTATCTACAGTCTGGTGGGCCTAGCTAGTAAGCTCAGAAGTATGCGTAAAACTAAGGTTGATGCCAAAGAAGCATGACCTCCATGTGTCCCTGCGAATCAAACCAGAGGCTTCGACTGGAGAAACCTGCATAGAATGAGACTTCTGAAGCCTTGAGGCATGAATAGTCCAATATGGATATGGTGTTAGATGTGTCGATCGCGGGCCAAAGGACACTGAGTCCAGGAGGTTGGTAAAATGGTAGCGAAGCTCGTTGTCAAGAAGAAGGCAGCACAAACGGTCTCAGCCCTTGTTGGAGTGGACGGTGACTGCGTATTGTTAAATAGGCATCGTGAATGTTGTGAAGGATGTTGAGAGAGGTAAAAGACGAAATGTTGGAAAAAGAAGCTGGGGACTGAGGTTTAGGAGTGAATTCTTGGGTGCTTTTATATGTCAGAGTACAGTACCTCATGTGAGGGTGTGAACTGATAGCTTTCATGTTATCAGGCCATGAGTTGTCTTCCAGTATCGCTCATTTGCCTCATTTTTTGAGAGTCCTTTCTGTGTTTCTCCGTTCTTAATATTTCTGGTGCATTCTTCAGATCCTTGGCAGAAAGCCACATGTCATCTTCAGGACCATAGCTGATGAATTGTATGTGATACTGTTTGATCTTTCTGTCATTCCTGACCTTTCTAAGCCTCTCTGAAAGTATTCTTTCAACTTCATATTCACGTTCATCTTCGAAATCAGCACGCTGCAATCTGCCACTAGGGCATATCCCGAATTCGGAAGGTGGTAACATATATTTTTCCAAATGAGCTATATTTAAAATAAGGTGAATACCATAGGAGGCCAGCATTCTAAGTTGGTAAGTTATCTCAAAAGGCCCGTTGTACTTCATTAGCAATTTTCGCCCTCTACCTGTCTCGTTTTTAAGAAGCTCTAAGGAATAAGGGTTCAAAACAACTAATTCACCCTCCTCAAATTCTATGATTAATTGTCCTTTGTTGTAAGCCTTTTGTTGATGTATCTGGGATAAATATAGCACTTTTTTGGCACACATGCGATCAGCGTCAAATTCCTCTGACATGGCTAAGGCACTTTCATGGATGGTATCACTTGATTCTGAAAGACATGGTTGTTTAACCAAGGCTCCCAGGTGTATTAAGGTAGAGCATGTTATCGAAGTGTACCCGCGGAGCAGATACACTGGGGGAAAATTAGTCACTGTATGAGGGGTTAAATTGTAGGTGAGCATAATATTATCCACATGATCGGACCAGTCAGTTTGGGAAGGTCCTACATAAGCACACAGCATAATTTCAAGAGTCTGATTCAAGACTTTCATTTGGCCATCTGCTTGAAGATGATGCAAAGTAGTAAGTGCTCTGGTCATTCCCATTAGTCTGCAAGTTTCTTTCTAAAAATCATTATGCTATTGTGTGTCTCGGTCCATAATTACCTGCCGTGGTATATCATAATGGGCAATAATGTGTTTGAAAAATAACCAGGCTGTGTCGACTTCTGAGATAGACGTAGAGCATGGTATAAAGATTCCATACTTGGTTAGTTTATCCACAATGACAAGGATATTGTCGAAACCATTTGATGATGGCAATTCTGGAATGAAATCCATACTAACTACTTCAAATGGCTGAGACAGTATTGGGATAGGTTGGAGCAGACCCATGGGTGCATGGCGCCTTGGTTTAGCCTTTTGACAGATATCGCAGGATCCAACAAATATTTTCAGTTCTCGAGACATTCACAGCCAGTAATATGTAGCAGCCAACTTATTATAGGTTTTATGAAACCCAGCGTGGCTAGTTTCAGTGATTCTGTCATGCACTTCAGCCATTAACATTGCTCGAAGGGATTTAGATACGCAAAGCCAGTTATTACCTTGCCAATCCTTAAAATACAACAGTTTGTTTTTAGCGTAATGGTAATGAGTGCGATCTGTTGGTACTAATCCTGTAGCATCATCAGTCTTGGATTCAATTATGCTACTGAAATAATTGTCTTTCTTATAACCCTCTTTCCATGAATTAATTTCTTCTGAGGATAATCCTACAATGACTGAATATGAAGACGAAGATTGATAAGACAACGAGACAACCCCATCATTAGTAGCAATTTCAATACTTTCCAAGTCAGTTGAGAAATCCAAATTGTCATGATGGGCAGCCATAAAATTGGTTGCGACTAATAAAAGCCATTCCTCAAATTTGTTACCTAGCTCGTCATACATGCATGTTTCTCAGGGGATCTTCGTTTGCAGCTGTAAGATCTACTGATATAGTTTCATCTGTTAAGGGGCCATCTGAGTAAGATAGTCACCTTCTAAGCCTGGAGATGGGGTCGACATTGAGTGAACTCTGCCAGCACGGTGCACAATTCTCAAGTCCGGGTATGTGGAAAAAACAGTTTCCCAAGTGAGTAAGCACCAATTTATATTTTGGAAAGTCTTACTCCAGGTGAGCGCAGCATAATCAGTAATTGCTAACACCTTCTCTCCTTCCAAAAATAGCTGGAATTTGATTAGTGCTTCCTTTAGAGCGAGCGCCTCTTGTTCTGTGGGGGAATAGTTGCATTCTGCAGACTTCAGGACTCTAGACCAATATGCAACTACATGTTCTACATAGACGGTAGTGTTGTCCAGATCCTTTCTCCAATTACTCAAAGGGGGTACATCTTGTATGTCTTTGGACAAGGTAGGTACTAGTATGGGTACTGGTTCCTTTCTTGAGTAAGCCTTTTGTAGTCGATCATATATCTTAGTGCCCTTGAGATCTTTAATGAGGATGGGTTGTACTTGCTGTAGAATTCCTCCCAAGCCATAGTTGCAAGCATCAGTGTATACATAGTAAGGTTGCCCAGGCATGGCATAGCCGCATACTGGAGCATTCATTAATATCTGTTTGCAAAGCTGGAAAGCTTCATCATGCAGAATGGTCCAATTCCAAGGTGTATCCTTCTTTAATAGTTGGAAGAAGGGATGAGCAATCCAGGCATTAAAGATGCTTAGTGCGGGGTGTGTGTGAACTACTAGATAATCAAGTAGTCGCTTTCAATAGACTTTGTAAGGTCTATTAAAA